CAGCATCATCGGCACATTTCTCATTTATTAATTATCGTGAGTTAGAAAAACACTGACCTTTAAAAACTTGAAATTCTACGATGACGTAAATATTAAAATGCCCAGCAAAACGAAAAGTGATGATAAAACAACAACAACAGCAAAACAAATCAGAGGAAGAAAAGAAAACATGAAATATAGAATCTTTTGGTAACGAAGCGTGTGAGGCAACAAACAGGCGTGTAAGGTAAAATAAAAATAAATACATAGAGACATGTATACAGATGTTTACATACATACATCCCTGTAGGGAACTCAACGAACCCTGTAGGATCTCGGAATAGACTTAGGGTACACTACAAACTACATAGACTGCAAGGTGATTACAAGTAGTCCAAGGTTTGGTTCAACCACATTTAAAATTCTTTTTACATTTAACAACGAATGTCCTAGGCTCGGTCCAATTGTCCGCTTCTGCATGATATTGTAACCAATTTATCGCTTTCAATAAAAAAAAAACGCAATAATGCATACGTAATGAAATACATAATTATATAAAGGGTGATCCCTCTAGACCTTTGTTTTTAATTGTATATAAAACACTTAAAACAGAACTGGATCTCAGAATCTTTATTATTACCCGAAAAAACAATCCTTAACATTTTTTTTTATTTGAAGTGTTCATCGATAAGATTCAAACATTACTCTCGTAAATCGCGTAATGCTGGAAAAAGTAATTGCAAATTGGACCTTCCGAATGGACCACCTGCAGCGTAGTCGTGGCCAACATTTGAATTAAATTATTTTTAAAAGGTAAATGTCAGAGATTGTTCTTTCGGGTAACAAACAACGGTCAAGATAACTCTATCTAACCTTTTCTTTTTGTACAGAAGTATTTTTGTTAAAAAGAAAATTGAGAAAAAATGTCCACACGCATTTGTTTGTATGCACATACACTGCCGGAGAAAGGATTCGAGAATTTTCCACAATAAATCCAAAAATTTTTGTTTAATTTTTTTTCGGGCTGATTTCTTTATAAAAAATGTTCATGCTACAATATAAAAAAAAACATTAAAATGTATTTTCTAAAATTTGTGCAAAACTCAGGAAAGTTCCATAAATTTTAGTGTTGGGCAGTATCGATACCAAAAGTACTCAGAACTCGATTTTCAAAAGGATCGATAGCACCCGACTTTTAAAAGTATCGATACTGAGTACTCCAAATAACTCAAAAGAATTCGAAAGTACTCAGTACTCACAAAAGAACTCGAAAATACTCAGAACTTAAAAGAACTGGAAAGTATACTCAAAAATACTCTGTTCCAGTAACCGCTTTGATACATGTACTCAGGATCGATTCAAAGTACTAGAATAGACTTAAACATTAACGGTATTCAGAAACGATTGTACTCAATTTGCAGTTCCAATAATTTTCAAGTACAATACTTGTACCCAGTACAGTTAGCCATTCATTTGACGTAATTTGTGATTCATATATTAATTTGAATAAGTATTGAAATACTCTGGAAAATACCCGATCCTTACAAGTATCGATACCAAAAAACTCGATCCTCAAAACTACTCGATTTTTTTAATTTTTTCCAGTATCCACGCATCTTCTGTCATAAAAATAATTTGTATGGAAAAAATGTGAAACCCCTTTGACAAAAAAATTCTCAAAAATCAGCGCGATTGTTTTTTTTTTTGTAATTCAAGCCTATATTTTTTGATTCCAAAATTTAAAGTTAAAAGTTAGGTGTAGTAAGTGAGCAAAAAGTTAGCTAGTTATTTTAGTAGTCGACTAGGAAATTCCCTACAGGGTATTTACATTTGGTTGATTACTCTCAAAAGTGATAAATGAAAATAAATTGTTTTTTTCTTTAGTTTATCCACTGGCATTAAATATGGCATGCAGAACACGTAACCTTTTTAGCTGTGGGAATGTAATTCAGAGTAGACCAGCAATAGTGCAAATGGTGGTGTGAGCGTAAAAGCCGATGAGTGGAGCGAGTAAGCACCGGTTTTTTTTTTTAAATTTTATTGTTTTGAGCGGCTCACAGTGCGAAAAAAATTGGCATAACCGTGACGGAAACCGGTAAAACATGCACGTGCTCGGTTTTAGCCGCAAAAGCAGCAGGTCAGCGCAGCGCAACTCGTTAATGAATCAGATAATGAAAATCGATGTGGTGAGCGAGAGTGAGGTGCCAACGACAGTTGTTGTAGTTGTTGTTGCTACAGCCAAGTGCAAACGAGAATAGTTGCAGCCGCACTTTTCGACCATTGTAGACTTTTTTTATTTTTTTCAAAAGCTAAAAAGTTCAACCAGCTGATATTTATGGATGTTCTCCTCTTTGAATCGATGCTTTGTAATCTAGCTTTTAGATTTTTCACAGCAAAATCTCAATCTATCATTTTTCAGTTTCCAGTCATCTCAACTGACAATAAATTTGCTTATACAAGCTGGCAGTTTTTTTGCATTATTTTTCTTATTTTCTAGTCACTAAATTGCGCTTTTTGTAAATATGTATGTATAGACATTTTCGCTGTACTTGTTCAACGTAAGCAGCGACCACGCGCTTTTCCAAACAATTTCATTTCCAACTGCAACAACAAATAAACTGCCAATTTAGATAAAAGAAAATGCTGCACTAAATTAAAACAACAAACAATAGGAAATTTTGTGCGCAGCTTTCCAGAGACCGAAATAAAATTGACGTGATTTTTGGAAGGAAGATGGGTTTGGCAACAGGAAACAGAAAAGGAGAGGGGAGCAAAATGAACAACAAGCGGTAAAAGTCGTCAACAGGAAAAGAATGAGGGTAGAATATTGAGATTGTAGCGAAAAATTAATAGCAAATAAATTTCGAAGCCCATTTATTTAATAAAATAAAATAAAATAACCAAAATTAATCGAATAGCCAGTGATGTGCGAATGCGAAAGCGCAGCAATAGGCGGTGCAAAAATAAATTGCGCATGCTGATCTCGCAGCTGATTATTTGTGTGCATGTGTGTGTGTGTGTGTGTGTGTGTGTGTGTGTTGGTGCTGGGAAAGCGGAAATGTGACGTTCATCATACGATGCGTTGAAAGCGCGCGAGCGAGCAGAGTGCACGCTCCTACCCACACTTTTACATCTATCTGTGATTATAAACACATGCCGGTATAAAAGAATCAGAGTTCACCGGCAATTGCAGAAAGAATACAGCAAAGTATTTATATTCATACATATTTAAATGTTGAGGTGGAACTGAAAACCAAACGATTGCACTGCAAGACCAGGGTGCGTCCAACGTCTAGCGAATAAAAGATAAAAACTATACGTCAATATTTTATAAACAAGAAATTGACAAACTAAAGGTTACAAATATAAAATATTGTTGAAAAATCAACTTTAATAGCAAATATCGATTTACTCGGAATAGGCGCGAAAAAAAATTTAACCACAACAGATGGCCCCGTTTGTCCTTGAATAGCAATGCTGAGGTAAAAAAGGCATGATTGTTTAAGAATACGTAAGTCAAAAGTAGCAACAAGCAGTAACCGAAGAACCTGAAGGTATCTAGAAAAAAAAAACGGCGAACACCAGCCCAATCCGATCGACATTTTCTTCAGACATATTAACTAAATTTCAATATTGGTTTTTAAGGAGACTATTAAATAGGGCATCGACAGATACAGAAACTCTGTTCTCTTCAACACTCACAAGCCTTGTTTGGTTTTAACTTCATTGCTAAACAGTTTAAAATATGGCACTTTGTTAATGTGCGAAGGTCTGAATTAGGATAGTTTGTCTGAGAGCGCTGAGTTAAAACAAATTTAAGATAGTTCATCGAGTGAACATCGTTTTTCGTACGGAGTTCAAGATATACGGCTATTGACCAGTTTAGATGAAGTACACTGAGGGGAAAAAATTTTAAAACTAAAAAAAAACGTGTTAAATTTAAAAAAATACGCATATAAAAGAGCACCAACCCAACTCGTTTTAAATTTGAGTATTTACGTTATAAAAAAAGTCGTTGTGAAGTGCGCAGATGCTTTCTCGTTATACGAAATTATAATTAAGAAGAAAAAAGAATTTATTTTATGTTACCGTCTGATGGTAATTGAAACCGGACCCTCTTGGCAGCAACCAATTGTATCAAGCGTCTTTGCACACTCAGCTACAGCCATACATGGAAATGTGTTTTCAAATGTTGAGTTTGAATCAACATCACAGCGCGCGATTAGTGCATTTGTACAGATAAACTGTGCATGCTTTGTATACATATACTTTCTTAATTACATATGAAAAAGCATACGAGACGTGCAAAACGGCAGCCGTGCAGTAAAAAATGCTTCATTTTAATACAGGCGTATTTGAATTGAATATTTCCATTATACGTAGTGTATGTATAATGGAAAGATCCATTTCGTTAACACTTTTCACTAGATTTAAATACGAGCATTTTTAAATGGTAATCAAATAATTTTTTTTTTATTCTTACAACGCGTTTTTTTCTCAGTGTACGAGTAGTCGATTACAGCACCAAACAAGAAGGAGAAGAAATCGGTTATTTTTTGCTGGGAAGTATTATTTTAAATAGGGCTCTGCTTCTCGCTTTTTTGTTAAATTGTTTATACTAGATGTATGAAAAAAACATCAAAATTCTTTTTAAAAGTTAAATTTGGTAACCTCATAAAAACTAATGATTTTTATTGATTCTTTTAGACACTAGCAAATACCCGCCATACTCCCCTGCACTTTAATACTATTTTTGTGTTGTTACTCCTTCCTAAAACTCGTTTATCAAAAATAAAATAGATATAGAGAAGTGAGATTTTCAAACAAATCTTCGGTTTCTTAGGCTTTTTCATTTTTTATGTTTGTATGTGTGGAAGGTATTTAGAAAGTAGGTAAAGAATTGACTTTCTCCTGGGAATTTAATTTTTAATCTTATAGTTCGTATTGCCAATTCTTATTATTATAAATTTTTTGTGCCAACATGTGTATTAATAATGAAATTTCTATCCTCCTTTTTCCAGGATCGCCCAACCAGCTTCCGGTGGCATTATTGGATTATGCTTTTTGAGGATTTAACTTAGATTTGAAAATATCATAATGTTGCATTGCACAGCACGTCGTCGTGGAGTATTTCTATCTCCATAGATATTTAAAAAGTAACAAAGAAAAAGTACAATTAAAATATAAGAAGTCGTCTACTAGCAGCACGTTCCGTAAACAATTCTAGTCAAATCTAAGCTCACGAAAAAGTTTATTTAATCGAAGCATTCAAAGGCCAGCAGCGGAGTAGCCGAGAACGAAAGGGCACAAGAAAAAAAAGCGGAAGAAGAAAAGAAGCAAGTGGGACCTTAGAGTCAAAGCCCGAAGCAAAGCAGTAAAGTATTTGTAAGAAATAAAAATAAATACAAAAAAGAAAAAAGAAAACAACGTCTACCAAAAAATCCCCTGTGGCAAACTTTCTAAGCGAAAAAGTTAGAAAACCATGCCATACAATCGTGACACATCGGCAGCTCAGGCCGATAAATTGAGCGGCATCGAGGAGGAGAGCGATTTGTATGAGGGCTTTGCACCGCACGTCGACACCGCAGAGATAAAAAGTTTAGATTTCTACAATCAAAAGCCGTCAACCGGTAAGTGTTTTCACATTAAACTAAAACCAACCAACAATGTGAATATATTTTCTACACTACACTAATGTTAATCATATGAATAAATATTTATTTTGGGCGCGTCATGCGAGTGGGCGTGATTAGCAGAAAAGTGTCAAAAAAGCCGCCAAAAATGTGCAAAACTTCCACTTGGTGGCGGCGGTGAACGTGCCTGCGATTGCAGATTTTCCATTTCATAAGTACATCTGTATTTATGTACATAAATATTTCCAATTAGAAATTGTAATTGAACTAAAGTTTTGCGAAATATTCAAATTATTGTAGCATTAGCATCGGCGTCCATTTTCTTGTATTTTCTTTTGTTCCTTATTCGCTAATTTAATGAATTGAAAATAATCGCTAAATTTTTGATTGAGTGCCGTGCCGCAGCCAAAGAAATCAGTAAAATAAATAGTTTTTCAAAATTCCTTTTACGCTAAAAATAAATGTTTCTGCTGCTGTGTAACAACATTCCATATTTGTAAAACAACATTTCATAAAATTTTTATAAATTAAAATTTTCGAATTTATTTCTGTCGATAAGCTATGAAAACTGGCTGTATGAAATGCTTTCAAAATAAACACATGCCACATAGAATAAATAAATATTAATGTGCATTCATTTCATAAATAAATTTTTGTGATTATGTGTGTAGGACGTATGTACGTATTTACATACACACACTTTTACATATACCACGCCTTTCAACACACCCGATTTGTGTAAGTCGGTCTAATAATTGTTGGTGAAACACCAATTAAGTTTTATTTTGACTTGTTTTCGTTTTAAAAAAAAACTATTTATAAATCCAAATTAATTCAATTAAAACACGTCTGCGGTTTCGAGAAAATTCCCTAAAAGCCCAAAACATAAACATCATTTTCAAAAATTTACATTGTCTGGAAAAGCAGCTCTGTTTTGTAAACTTTTCAAAGATGTGAAGTGCCTCGAGCAAGAACAACTATTTACGAATAAAAATGATTGTTTGTGCCATAAAGTAATAAATTCCGAGCTTGCCCATTAAAATTATTATTTTTTTCATACTTCGCTGGGTCTATTTTCGTTAATCACTTTAAAAGAAAATACATAAAATCAAGAAAAAAAATATAACCTCAAAGTTAGTGATAAACAATGAAAATGGACAACAAATAATATGAGCAACTTATAGTCCGTCCAGCTGATGGAAAATCGAATTTTGTTTTATTCATGAAAAATTATGCACGTATGTAGGTAGGCATGTCTGTACATGCAATAAACACTCCACATTTCTGCCCTTGATGGCTTCCACCAAGCGATCGCGTGATTTTGCACATAAACCAGTCGAATTTTTAAAGATATAAACTTAAAAAAAATGCCAGCCAAGTGGCATGTGGTCCTGAGTTGTGTGGTGAAGGATGCCCTTCGATTCATTTAGGATTTTTTCATAAAAAAATTAAGTGAACAATTTTATGGTTTATCCAGCTAAGAAATTATGTATGTATCGATGGTTCGCTGCAATAACGACACAACTCAAAATTTCATATTTTTCAGTAGAGCCAATTAAAAAATTGTGTGTTTCGTAATTTAGCAACAATATTTCTTGGAATGTAATTATTCCGGATTATTTGCATTCACTCTGTAGGGAAAATTTGTCAGCTTTCAAATTATGACTTTTTTCTAGAGACTTGGTAAGGGTAGGACTGAAAAAATACGAAATAAGTAACAGCTAACCGAAAATAACTCCACTGGTACTACTGAACATCGAAACGAAAAGTGTCGTTATTTCTCATAAAAAAAATACTAACAACGGCACAATATGAAAAAGCCAATATTCACGATAAATGTGCCACTGTTCAGTAGTAAGGCTTGCCTAGTTCGGTTTTGTGGCAAACGGCAAAAACGCGCCCTTGTCGGATTATTTAGTAACAACTAAGGCTGCGTTTCACCAGATTCATTTAAGTGAAAATTGCTTTAATGTTCGAATTTTTGGGTTTAGCAATCAATTTTAATTTGTTTTTAATTTTGCATTAAGTGACCTATGCTCTTAAGTAATGTATATAAAAATTAAATCAGCATAATCACATTCAGGGATGTTACACGTTGAATCAGCTGATCAATATACACACACCACAATTTTGTGTGTCAGGTGGTTGCTTGTATACCAGCCCTGCTTTTACTGCCACTTTTAGCATGGTGCTGCCATATTTTCACTCACTTAAATAAGTTCTTTATAGAAACTGAAAAAAAAGTGAATTGAGAATTAAATTAAAGTTAATTTCCACTTAAATTAGTTTGGTGAAACGCAGCCTAAGCATATGGGCAATTCTAAATTAGTTCGAATTGTCGCATCATACATATATTTGTTGTTTGTTAAGTGATAATAATAATAATAAACATAAACAGCCAATTTCAATTTAAGTGAAAAGTAATTTTTATTTTTGGAATTTTATATGGAAATTGACAGAAAATAAAAAATCATTTTCCATTTAAATTGCCGGTGAAACCGGCTGTAAATAGACTAAAGAATAATGCCAAAACTTGCTAAAATGTCGCGGCAGAGTTTTTTTTTTTGGTTTACTGTATGTGTATATCAATTCGTCAATTTGTACCACACTCAGTACAATTATTGACCTTGGCATAAAGAAACTATATGCTGAAAATTTTTGAAATCGGACTAAAATTACGCCCACTTTCCACTTCAAAAAAAAACGCGTAAAAAATTTTAAAAAGTATGTTGCGTTGCTTTAGGACGTTGCACTACGTTGGATTTTGATTCTAGCATCTGAAGCAACGTATACTAAAAATTCCAGACATGTGCTCACGATTTAAGAAAAAAATTATGATCACAAAAGATTCGACGTTTGTGAGAATTGCCCATATGACCCGCTTGATAACTCAAAATCGTGTACATTTTGCCAAATTCCTTTTCTCTTAAGTTTTTTGAGCTGAGTAAAATCACATCACCCTATGTGTTTCAAAGCCTAAGCATTGAAGATGTGTCTACCATTTGTTGTTTGTAGTAATAAATAGGCCGCAAAGAAAAACGAAATCACAATGGACAAGGTTGGCGCCTGCTGAAACATGCTTTCGAAAACAAAAAAATCGCACTATTGTCTGTACATTTGTTTATCATAAATTTGTGTACGTACAAACGTATAAGCATATGAAAATGCTGCGCTTATTTTCCAGTTTTGTATATAACTCTGTATTTCCATACTCATTGCTATCACATGATCAGTTTCTTAAAAAAAAAAAATAAGTGCGCTTGGGCCACACTAGAGAAGAGATTCTTACGTTACATATCTAACTTACATCTTTGTTCTAATCTTTTATATCTTTGCCTTTATCCTTTTCATCATCTACATATTCTCCTAAATGATGCGGGATGCGATGACGTGATAGGATGTCATGTCATGCCAAATGATGTCATATCATGTGATGTTCTGTCATATGATGTCACATCATGTTTATCGATAACAAAGTCAATGGTAACATCGATAAAAATATCGATAATTAAACAGGTAAAGTTATCGATAACAAATTCGAAAAAATGTAGATAGGAAAATCGATAACCAAATCGAAAAAAATGTCGAAATCAAAATCGATAAAAAATCAACAAAAAAAAAATAAAAATATCGATAACAAAATCTATTAAAATATAGATAACCAAATCGATAAAAACATCGATACCCAAATCGATAAAAAATATCGATAACAAAATCGATAAAAATATCAATAGCAAAATCGATAAAAATATCGATAGCAAAATCAATAACAAAATCGGTAAAAATATCGATAACAAATCGATAAAAATATAAATAACAAAATCGATAAAAATATCGATAACAATGTATGCACGTTTTGGAAGTCAGCCTTATTGTTCGGGTTACACTCGAGCTACGTTTTTATTTATTACTTACTACTTTACAGTTCTAAATGTTTGCTGCTTTTATATCAACTCGCTCCTATCTTAAGTACCCTGACAATTCTTATCTAAAATTTAACTACTCAGATATACTTGCGTTACCTGGCATTCCTAAATTCTTCTTTTGCTGTATCTACTACTTTTTTATTTTTGTATGTGTATGAGTTCTGTGATATGAGATTCTTCCAGATTTTGTTGCCCAACTTGGAAGTTGCTACTCGACGATTAGAGAGCTCTGGAGCCTCATTTAACTTAAGTCACCTGAAAAAATCTTACTCTTTTTAGTACTCGCATTGAAAAATTGCGATTTCTGGAGTTGCTATTCCTTTTTGACTTCCTTAGTGTTGAATTTATGGTTCTGACTCCTGGTCGTAAATGGCCCATGAAACATTCTATTTGATTTTTTTATTCGATTTTGGCAATTAAATTAAACGTCTTCTTTTCCTTTTTTTATGTTTTATTTCAGTTTCTATAATCATTTTTATTACTTGCTTAAATTTTTTTTTATTATTTCCACTTAATAAGCTTCTCATTTTTTTCTAAGAAGTAGTATTTTAATAATTTTATTACCAACCGAAAATTTATATTTAGCTGAATTATGAATCAATTGCTAAATTGTATTATAAACATACAATAAAAATTCCAATTTTTATGGGTTCGCCGCTGTCCCATTTCATTGAATTGGGCGCAGTTGCTAGATATTGAAATTCTATTAATTTGTTGGTTATAAAATAAACCTAGTCTTCGGAAGCAGTATTTTCAATTGCATAAATGTAATGTCGCTATCAACCATCAGAAATTCAAATTGACAGTTAATGACAGAAAAATGTAATAACTATGTATTAATTGTTGAGGCGCGTGAAGTGTCTGGTGAAAATGTATAAACTGTTGAATCATCATGGTGTGCGATTTTTTTTTTTTTAGATAACATTAACGATTGTCGATAACACTTAAATTTTACTTCTCGATGTCTAAATTGATTAGATTAGACGAAAAATCAGCGCTGGCAGAACTCTATGAGCATGTGCAAAACTTTTGGCATCTTCAACGTTGTATTTCGCCGACTTAGGCGTCCTT